CGTGTGCTCTTCCGATCGTTTGCATTTTATTGGATCCAACCCAAAACAAAAGTTGCGCGGCGATACCTGCGCGAAGACTCAGTTTTTCGCTGAGTGGACCTACTGGTTATACTGTGCCCTAAGAGCCTGCACATGTCTTTTCCGAAGTTCGTCAACTTTTATTTCAGGCGACAAAAAACGAAGCTACATCACGCCAAATACAACGACGACGATAACTTTTAGGTTATATTCAGAGGTTTTTAGGTTACGTTCAGATGTACGGTCATGTTCAAATTGTAGATATATATGACGATATTTCTCGACTTCATGTGACAAAAATATTAGAAGCGAAAAAACAAAAGGCAGAAGGCACGAAACAAGATTTAAAAAGCGCGTTATAGATCTAGTCTTAATATGTTTCTGCAATGTTATTGATCTGTTTTTGTTTTGTGTAGGAGCACATCTAGCAGCATGAATTCATCAACTATGACAGAAATTCTAAAAAAAAAGAAACTAAAAGAGCAAGCTATTAAATTAAAAACGGAAAACAGAATGCTATGCGAAAGAATAAGACGGCTTCAAAAGAAGATGGAAAGGGTGGAAAGAACTAGAAAAAATAAGGAAGATCCTAAGGAACATGAAACTCTTCATCAAGATTGTAAGTTACTGCAACTAGGTTGTAAGTTACTGCCCACAAATGTAGCACAATTATTATCTACACATAATGTTGCCCAAATCAAAAGCAAACATGGAAGAAGATACACTTCTAATTTCAAACAATTTGCATTACAATTATTTTTTTTAAGCCCGCGAAATTATCAAGAGCTCAAGAAACAGTTTGCGTTACCTTCCATACGTAGTCTTCAATCATTTACACAAACATGGAAAATTAAACCCGGCATAAATAATAATATTTTTGATGTTTTGTCTGTAAAATTAAATTCATTACCGCCTTTAGAACGCCATTGTATATTATGCGTAGACGAAATGAGTTTAAAAGCTCATTTATTTTATAACATTTCACAAGACGAAATTATCGGATTTGAAGATATGGGTAACAAGAAATCAGCAAAATCTGCAAAAAATGCTTTAGTTATTATGGCACGCAGCATTGCAGGGGATTGGAAACTTCCAGTTTGCTTTTGTTTAATGGAAACAACATGTAAATCAAATGTCTTACAATCTATTATATTTGATGTTATTCGTAAGTTACAAGGTTGTGGTGCTACTGTGCATGCTTTAATTTCGGATATGGGGTCTAATTTTATACAGCTATCTCGTCAATTAGGCATTTCAACAGAAAATTCAGTTTTTTTAGTTGACGATTTTGAAATATTATATATATTCGATACGCCCCATTTGATGAAAAGTACACGCAATAATTTATATAAACACCATATACAATTTCGAATGAACAAAATTGCATCATGGGCTCACATTGTAGAATTTTACAATAGAGACAGTAAACAATGGATAAAAACAGCTCCAAAATTATCTAAAAATCATATTGAACCTACCAATTTTCAGAAAATGAAAGTTAAATATGCCGTTGAAGTTTTCAGTAATCGCGTAGCTGCAGGCATGTGTACACAAATGTCCTTCGGTTTTCTTTCAAGTGAAGCAGTAGGAACAATAGATTTTATTGATCATTTTGATAAGCTATTTGATGTTCTAAATTCGTCTGCAATAAATAATCCTAAGGAATATGGAAAAGTATTTACAGGAAGCAAAAAACAAATTCAATTTTTAGAACAAATAATAAACATTTTTAAAACTATTAAAGTAATTGATGAAAATGATGTACCTGTTAAAGTTAATTGTTTTAAATGTTGGCAAATTACGATTAGAAGTATAATGCTACTTTGGGAGAAATTAAAATGTCATGATTTTCCATATTTACGCACACGAAAAATAAATCAAGACTGTATTGAAAATTTCTTTGATTTCATCAGGCAACAGGGTGGTAACCGTTTGAATCCGACAGCGATACAATTTACTCGCGCTTTTAAAAAGTTGTTTAGCATGAACATTTTACAACATACAGATACGCAAAATTGTGCTACAGACACTGATAAAATGTTAAATTTATTTGGAGCATCATGTTCGAATCCTACCGCGAATCCATTATCTTCTGTGTTCATTTCATCTTCAGTCACATGTGTACGTCCAAGTTTAGATATCTCAAATCATGATTATTATAATATGAAATTGCCGGAAGAAAATGCGTTTAGATATGTATGCGGGTACTTAATAAAAAAATGTTCACAAATGCATATATGTGAAACGTGTACTAGTTATCTAAATGAAAACAAGACTGTCATAGATAATACTAGTTTGTATTGTTCTTTTCAAGCTTTTGTTACTACAAAGGAAAATCAATTTGGAAATTTACATATAGCAAGTTATAATTTTTGTTCTTATATTCACGAATTAGAAAAGGTATTTATCACTAATTTTGAAAATAATTGTTTCCAACAAAATATTGGTAATCATTTATTTCAACTTACTCAAACTGTACCTTTCGAAGCACCGTGTCCAAATTTTCCTCAAGTATATTTAATTAAATTATTTATACGCATGCGTATTTATTTTACTTTGTCCCAACATAATAAGGAATGTGGTAAAAGTGTAACAAAAAAAAAAAAGAAACTGTGTAATATTTTAAATTTATAACTTTTTAAATTATATTTTCTTGCATGCATGGCAGTCTTGTTTTTTACTAGTCTCGTTATTCTTCCAGTCAGTTTTATCTTATAAGCATATGTTAATTAGTATAAAAATATCTTTCTCTCTTTTTTTTTTTTCGTTGGTCGTACCGAGGTGGATCGAGTAGCTGAGGTACGGACAAATGATTAAAAGTTGAGAAAAAAGATATAATTCTGTATATGTACATATAACATTTATTTATCGTTCCATTACTTTTAATTTAATATTCATTTTTTATTATATTTCATTTTTAAAATAAAGATGTTTTGAAATAATTTAAAATTTATAATTTAAACTGATGTATAATTTTTCCTGTACGATATGTGGGCTTTATTCCTTTTCCCTTAACTACTTCTCATTATTAATTATTTCTTTCTTATTATGTATTTATATAACTGTGCTAAAATGTAAGATTAAATTCATTTTTTTTTTAATTGTAAAATGGAATTTTTTTACATATCTTTGTACTAGGAATCATAATAGCAACATAAAAATAAATAAAAAAATTATAATGAATAGAAAACTACAAAGATGTAGAATTGTATAAGTTGTATAATTAGATATTTACATTAATAATATGAACTAAAAGAATTTTTTTAAATTTAATTGATTCATGATGAATATTCGTTTTTATTTTATTAAAATTATAAATATTACATTATATTATAATATTATATTTAGCATAGTTGTAATTGTACATACGCATATTTGTAATGTTTTTAAAATAAATTGTTTTTCAACTACACAAAAATATTTTTATTGTGTATAAATTTAATGTAATTTTAATTTCTAATTATTAATAATTTATTAAATTTTATTAATATTTATAGTATATTATAGTTCTTATAATATAAACTATAGGTATCTTTTATTAAGGAACATTTTTATAAACTATCTCTGTATATTAACATATTTATGATATTAATTAAATAAATATATTTTTATATATTTTATGTATTTTTTTTTTAAACTTATATATTATGTATATTTTTTTCTATTATAGATAATATATACACAATATATATCTTTTTTATTAATCAATATATAATCAATATAATATCTTTTAGTAATCTAATCACTACTAATCAATATACATATAATCAATATATATAATCAATATAATTTTACAAATATTTTTCCTTATTATTTTTTGTTTCATTGTCCATAGAGTATATTGTGTGATTAGCTAATTATTTATAATATTTTTATATTAATTTATATGTAAAATATAACAACTAGCACAATATTATGTTACACAAAAAGAGAAAATGATGAAAGGGAGAATAACTCAGTGGCATGAGGTCTGTTTCTCGTAACTGAACTACACCCATTGTACTTAAAACGAAATAGATAAATGTATATTTAATTGGATGAAAGCGAGATAAAACATTTTTGTGCAGTCCAGTGCAGCAACGAAGAGTAGATCTATGATTGTTTACATACTATAGCTCGCGTATGTGTAGTTTAATTTCGTACACGCTCATATCAAAGGTGCGGACAACGAGTTGATTCTCTACCTAGAGGATCTCTAAGTTGCTCTACTACTATATATATACTATGCCCAATCGGCCACGGGTCACAGCCGCGATTTCGGTGAGACCATAAAGATCCATCTACAATGGCTGCGTTCCGATATACTCGTACACTGCAAGTACTGAAAATCTATAATATACGTTACGTGCACTATAGATTTTCAGCACTGGCAGTGAATATACTGAATATCGGAACGCAACCAATGAAAGTAATACGTCGTAAGCTGTAAGAAATTGACCACTCACAGTCGATTATTCTTCTCATATTCGACTCTGTTTAATTTCTTACGGCTTACGACTTATTATTTTCATTGTAGTCCTTTAGATTCGTAAGAACCCCTCGTACACTACCGCCAGTACATACATCCATTTTTTAAATGAGAATCGATTTACATCAATTTACTGTGGTATTTGGACAATGTCGATAAAATCACAACAGAGAGAATGTCGAAAATAGATGTGGTTCGAGATTGAGACTTCAAAAATTTTGTATCGTTCAAAGAAAGAATAAATTTTTTGAAAGATATCAAAAGTTTGTTCAAAGAAGTCTTTCAACGAACGTACTTCATATATGATCTTAGCTTAAAAAATCAAGAAGCGATTTCTATTTACAAAATTGCTTTTCGAGGAATTATGTGCATGTCTGCAAGTCTTCGAAGCGAGAGATTGCTTTTTTTAGAAATTTTTTATTGCTTTTCAAGAAATTATATTTAATACCAAAAAATTGCTTTTAAAGAAAGACCTGAACGTAAAAATTGTTTTTCAAGAAACGCCTACGTGTTTTTGACGTACATTAATTGCTTTTTAAGAAATGCCATTGCTTTTAAAAAAATGTCTGTGGATTTTCGATGTACATTTATTGCTTTTTAAGAAATTTAAACTAGCGCCAGCACAATCGAATGCAACCTATATAAGTATTACTCGCTATTTATTTGCTAATTAACTGCCCTATAATCCCGATTTTTTTGCTACAGCCGATTCGCAAAAAATAATAGCTGTGCTACTAGCTTAAGTTTAAAGTTAGCACGACCATAAAGAAAAAATGTTTATTAGACGGAATAACTTATTATCAGCACGACACATTTTCGTCGAGTGTCATGCTGGTGACAAAAATAAAAATTGCATTTGAAATGTTTATAAGGTTAAACTTTACACGCAGCTCGACATTAAAATTTCATAGTTTTGGTTAGATTTCCACTTTATTTTGAAGAGACGAAGAGTTTTGTATAATTTATAACAAGGGTTCCAGCAATTTTTAATTTAAATTTAAAAAATGAGGTGTTAACTTCTTATAAAAATTCATAAATTGTTATTGAGTAAAACTGATCTTGTTATAAATTATAGAGAACTCTTCGTCTCTTCAAAATGATGCAGAAACTCTAATCAGAACTATGGAATTTTAATGTCGGGATACGAGTGAAGTTGGCATTAGGGTACGGGGAAGTTTGCCGATCCCACGAAACATACCGGGATGGCCGTTCTTACGCTTCTCTCTAGTCAAAATTCTCCGTACACAGCGTA